GGAATGACTGACACCTCTGGCTGAATTCTCTTCCCACTCTCCCGAGTTGCCTGGCAGCGATATCTTTGCAATGCAGAAGAGCCTGTGCTGCTGATAAGGAGCAGCAGGGCGAGATTACAGCTGTGAGCTGTCCACCTTCGGGTCCCTCCAGCCAAATCCAGGGCCCAATTCCAGCAGGGGCCACTCCAGAGGTACCAAACACAGCAGGGAAAGGCACCCGGAGAAGCTCTGAGGTTCTGACCCGGGCAGTGCTTCCGTCTGCTCCCACCAGCAAATCCCACTCCTGCCACAAATAAAAGCTGCGAGCTGGGCTAATTTAACACACAAGTGACTCCATTTCCTCCTGTGTATTTTGCATAGCACCAGGGAGGGGTAAGAGTCCTGCAGCTGAATCAGCTGAGCTCCAGCTCCTCGTTTCAGACTCTTCCTTGTGCTGGACAAAGCCACGTTCAAGGTGAAGGTCACACCGGGAGCCCCAGATCGAGGACTTTGCCATTATCACACGGACACAAAATGAAACAAGACCCCTGCCTTGCTATTCAGGCACCGACCTGAACTAAAGGCAGCAAGGAGAAGCTTTTCCCATCCAACTGATCATTTACTGACAAAATGGAAACGCTTTTCATCATCCCAGCTTCTCATCTTGATTTGCTTTAATTGCAGAACAGTCTGGCTGTCCAAATAAATCTCCCATCAATGCATTTTCTGTGGTGTTCCTCATATCACTTTATTATCTCCCTCTCTGGCAAACGTAGGTATGACCAGGATTCAATTACCTGGGGCTGCTGGATGGATCATCCGTTTCTCCCTGATAAAGCCAGGGCAGGGAGTGAGAACATTTATCTATTGCAAGGATCATTCCAATATCCTTAAAGACATTAAAGAAGGGTCTGCTAGAGCTGCCTGTCATGACTCACTACTACAAGCTCCCCTTGCCAAATTCCCAAGTTTTCACCTGCCCACAGGGTTCTTTAACACAGCCTTGCTCTGCCCAGCAGCAAGTTTATCTTCTATCCTGCTATATCTGATTCCTTTCCGAGTACAGCTGAGGATAAGATGGTGAATTCTGACCCATCTCTGCCAGAAACACTTTCAATGCAAGCAGTTCCTGCATTAACAAGGGACAAACTCTGTGGCATTTCAGCCCCAACTCTTCTCGCTTCCCAGTGTCAGGGGAGCAAAGTCAGGTGAAGATTTAGAGCTTGGCTCTTCACATGACAGATACTTTGTAACTGAATCTAAGTTTAAGAAGGTCAAGTCAGCTGTTACCCTGCCAGGTTTTGTCATTAGTTCCTCCTGGATATCCTCTCCAGCCTGCCAAGGCAGGTGAACTGACTCACCTTTGCACAGCTCTGTGACAGAACTGACGCATGTCTGAGCTGGGAGTTCCTGGGATTCTCCTGAAGATTTCTTATTTTCCCACAGTTAATCATTAACCCTATCTTTTTTGTTTGTGATGCTGGACAGTCTGTTTTTAGTAACATCTTGCTCCAGCCATATTTTATCAGTGAAACCTCAGAGGTTTCTTCTGGAGCTCCGTGGCTGGGCTGTGCAATGCCCAGGTCACACCACTCTACGTTTTGTCCTCGTGGTGCCAGTGTGAAACAGGAGAAGTGACACCATTCTGCCTCCCCTCCCAGCAGATCAAAAACTTCTCTGAAGGGCAACTTCAAAGCATCCTCAGCTTTTGGAACTTTTAGTAGCCTTTGCTCAACTGCAGGAGTTTTGTTCTGTACAAGTCGCGACGGCAGTGATAAAAAAAAAAAGTCCAAAAGAGATGTATTTTTGTGAGTCAGCAAAACATCTCAAATTTTACCATTCTCCAACACCTGAGCACGTGTAAAAATCCAATCTCTAGGTGGACCTGTCGGTGAGACAGGAAGGCAGCTCTGCCAGGTTGCATTCCCATAACTTCCAGTGACTCACCAGTGCCTGGCACTACCATTTGTTAAAGCAAGAGTGAAGCAGGGATAATAGCTATTTACTAAAAACAGAGGAGCGTGATTAGCTTTAATTAGCATTGTCAAGTGACTTGAGATTGTCAGGTACAAGATGTGGGAGAACTAAGTCTCATTAATTATGTTATTTCCTGCAGCCTTAAGTGGCTTGGCCAGTCCAGTGACGCTTCCGGAGACGGAGCTGCTCCTGATGGCCAACACATCCCACACCAGAGGGTGGAAATGCTCCCAGGCAGGCCTGGGAGATGTGGCTGTCCAGCAGAAAAGGAGAAGAATCAAGACCACTCAGCTTATGTGCTGCAGGACAGCCACAGATCCTGATAAACAGGGACAAAAAGGTAAAATGACACGGCAGAAACCAGACTCTGAGATAACCCACTGCCAAAATCCAAGGACATAAAAAACAGGGACCAATGGGGGCTACAGGGAATAGGATTCAGGCCCAGGGCACAGCACTCCTGGAAAACTGTCTTTTTATTCTTCCCAAAAAGACAAAAGGTAAGAAATCCACATTCTCAACCAGCATCACACAGCCCAGAGACACTGATTTACCAGGTAAAGATCTTGTATTAAGAAATGGAAAATCTTTTGAGTCAGAATAGTCCCTCTCTTCCACGGACTTCCCCATTCTGGAAGGGAAAGGAAACCTGTCCTTAGCCATTAATCACTGTGATTGAATCCAAAAGACAAGACCTGCTAATAAACAGGCACAGAAGAGAGGGAACATCCTGAAGGACCAACTTACAGGTCTCTGTCAAGGGGTGGGGAAAGGCAGCTGTGTACCCTGGTTTCCAGGCAATAAACACACCCTGATGCATCTTGGACATCCTGATCAGCTTCAAAACAGCCCAGGGAACTGAACTCTCAATTTCCCCATTCTTGACTTCACTCTGTGCTCCAGCACTCCACAGCTGACCTCTAATGAAGACTGCTTAAGCTCAAGCAAACAAAGATCTGCCAGTTAATGACCAAAGCCCAATGAAAGCCTGACTTTATTGGTGTCTCTTCTTCCACACACATAGGCAAAGGCAAGGCCGTGATGCAAGAACAAGAAATAAATGGTTTTTTTACTCCTCTGCAATCCCTGCAATGCTTTTGTAGTACACCAGATGAAGGAGGTCCCAACTTTCTAAACTGGCAGCCAGGACCTACACCAGAGTGACCAGTTCCTTAATTAAATTCTCTCTCAGCAACAGGTACTCAATCCATGAGTCAAGGAGCCTTTGAGGGAATGTGGATTTACAGGTAGGGATGCTGTGTTCTTCAACACAACCCTGACTCAACTGCACACACCAAGCAGCAAGGAAAGGAAATCATTTATTCAGAATCTATGGATCCAGAGGACACGAGGGAGCTCAAGTTTTGCCAGTTATTCCAATCCTGGCACTGCGAAAGAGACACCTGCAAAGAAAACTAAAATAATAAATAAATAAGAGAAGCACTTGACATCTCCATCAGATGAAAACAATGTCTCTGCCCTCCCTACAGCATTCCCAACCTCAGCTTTGAAGCACAGCCCTCGCTTTGAGCAGGAAACAAGAACCAGGGATCCAGGGAGAAAAGGAGAACATCCTAATTCCCTGTTCCAGCAGTGCTATTACACAGCAAACAATGTTTACAAGGAACCAGAGGCGTGGATCCAACACGATGAGATCTTGAACAAAATCAGTGGGAGTGCTCAGCGAGGATGAAGTCACAAAACACATCCTTTCCAGGCAGAATCCTCTCACGGATTACAAGGCAAGCTCCCTCAGTATCTGCTTGTTTACAACCCTCTCACTCAGCACAGGCCTCCCTGCACTGCCCAGCTTTAAGTAACCGTAAACGCATTAGGAAAAATCCTTATCTGGAGCAGGGAGCCGGCCCTCAGGAAGGCAGGGGCAGCAAGGCAGGGGCAGCAAGGCAGGGGCAGCAAGGCAGGTGCTGTGCCCTGTCCCGCCCTTGCCCAGCTGCACACCAGGAACACTGGTCTGACAGGCCTTCCTCTGGCTGTTTTCTAAGACACTAAAAGGTGAGGACACAGCCACTCCAGTCAATTGTAGGGTAAAAGGGCAAAAGATTCCACTCTTTTTCCCCCCCACACGTTTTAAACAGAAGCATTTCAAATCAGCTTGACTTCAAAAATAAGCATTAAAGCCTAAAGCTATGGACCCATGGCTATTCTGTCACCTAAAACTTGTCTGGCTTTTCTGGCTCAAACCCAGAAGTTTCTATGGAGATGCAGAACCCCGTTACCATTTCGCCCGGAGCCCTGGCCCTCGGCGGAGCTCTGCAAAAGAGGAAGCTGCTACACCCCTTATCAGAGGCCACAGCAACACCACGGAGCAGCAGCTGAGTTACTCCGTGCCTGGTTTCCGTACTCAGTGTACCAGAACTGCCCCGGGAGGGGCATCCCCAGGGTACCCCGCAATCCCTGTGTTCCCCCCGGGCACGATGGCAGCGCTCTGGCACAGCCACAGCCGGGCACGGCCGGGGCTGCGGGGACTCGCAGCACTGCTGGCAAACGGAGCTGCTGCCCCGGAGCCCCGGGGGAAGATGCTGCAGCTCCGCGGAGTCACTGCCCGAGACCCCTGCAGACCCTGCGGGGTCAGGGCTTATGAGATGGGTGGCGAGGAAGGAGAAGCTCTGCTCCTCTTCCTCCTCCTCCCGATCAGCGGCGTTTCCTCGCTGATCCCCGTGCCACCGTTCACCGGTAGCACCGAACCCCTCCCGGCCGGACCTGTTGCCCCCCGCCTCCATCCCCTCGCCCGGCCGCGCACACAAAGGCCGCCGCTCGCCCAGCCCGGCTCTCTCACCGCCAGCACCGGGGGCTCCCCCATCTCCTCTACCGGCCCTCATGGAGCCCCCCTGGGGATGCTCCCCCGGGTCCGCGCGGCGGGCGGAGGCGGGGGGGGACACGGGGACACACGGACACAGACGCGGCTGTGGCGCAGCTGCGCGCGGCCGCCCAGCCCCGGCCCCGCCGCGCTCGGGCCGGGACGTTTCTCCTCGGCGGCCGCTCGCCCCTCACGCCCTCACGCTCTCCGTGCCGCCCTCACTCACCGCGGCCGCACCGAGCGCGTCCCGGCGCGGACCGAGCGCGGCGGCCGCCGACGCGCACAGAGCCCGCAGCGCCTCCCCCGCGCACCGCCTGCTCCCTCTACTTATACCCTGCCGGCGTTGAGCGACACCTCCTCTAACCAATCAGCGCCCACCGGCACATAGCAACACGCCGCTGATTGGCTGTGTCCGGCCGCAGCCCATTTTTGCCCAGCCATTCAGAGCGCGACACTGGCGCGGTGCTCCCGCCCCCTCCACGCTCACCGGAGGGTCCGCACGCAGCGGCGGCGGCGGCTGCAGCCAATGGGAGAGCGGCTCGCGCGGCCGCAGCCAATGGGAGCGCGGCTCGCGCGGCCGCACAACAAACGCGGCGCGGGCTCTTAAAGGCGCCGCGCCCGCCCGAGGGGATGCGCGCAGGATGCGCGGCCCCCGGGGTCCCGGGTTTTTGGGTCACGGAGCAGGGAAAAGGGGCGGCTGTGGTCCCCTCCCCACGGTGTGTGCGGTGTTTCCGTCTTTCCCCGCGCAGGTAATTAGCGGGCGTTAATGAAGGGCGGTAATTAGCGGTGTCTGGTGCGCGGGGTGGGCGCCGGGGGAAGCAGCGGCAGAGCATTGACACAAAATTCACCGATATTAACCCCAAAACCCACCAGTATTAACCCTAAAATTCACCAATCTTAACCCCAAAATCCACCAATATTAACCCCAAAATACACCAGTATTAACCCCCGAATTCCACCAATACTAACCCCAAAATCCATCACTATTAACCCCAAATTTCACCAATATTAACCCCCCAAATCCCCCAATACCAACCCAGCTTTTCCACCACGCCACAGCACTAATTGCAAAAATGAGGATATTCCATATTTCTCCTGGAAATATCTCCATCCCAGCCCCTGCCATGAATTTTTCCAGCAGAGATCCTGGCACTTTTGTACCCCAGTTTTGCACCCCAACAGCTGCAGGCGTGCTCACACACCCAACAAACCCCAATTAAACACCATCCCCGCCAAGCTCTTCATTAACCCAGCAGCTCAGGCAATTTGAAGACTTCTCCCTGTTTTTATTCCCTAATAACAATAATTCAGTGTATAAAGCACGGGTTTAATAATCCCAGAAGGGTTTGGGGTGGAAGGAACCTTGAAGTCCATCCCATTGCACCCCTGACATGGGCAGGGACTCATCCCACTTTCTTGGCCCTGGATATTTAAAAATATTAAAAATATTGAATTAATATTTTCATATCTGGCCATTTTTCCAGCCATGGATTAAAGTTCTACATCTTCAGGGCTGAAATATATTTGCTTTATGAGATTATTCTTGTTCTAACACTCGCCTGCTAACGCAAATTCTTAATGATATTTTACTGCAAAATTCTTTAATTGGTAATAAAAGCAATATTCTGGTTCAAATGTTAAATACATGGACTAATAAGATAATATTTCCATTAATTATTATAATTTTTGTGGGTAAAATAACATCCTACCTTGTGCTATAAATTATTTTCCTTCCACACAAGCCAAGCCCACCCCTCTGATCACATTACTGAGCCAGCTGGGTGAAGAATTCCACAACCGGATTTTCAATACTAAACGACATTTTTTTCACTCTTTGTACACTCGTGGTACAATTTAAACACGCTGCCAAAAAAGATTCAAGCACTAGGGTAGTCAGCAGCTATTAAATACACCAAATAAAGAGGAAAATTGCTGTTAAAAGAAAAAAAAAAATTGTATTATCTTTAGACAGCCGCTGCTTTTAAGACTTACTTTAAGCTTCTTCTTTTCTTAGATAACCTCCTGCCTTCCCCAGCCAGCAGCAAAGAGCAAAATCCAGATTTTCAGCCCCTCTCCCCAGTGCTAAAAGTTCTGTATTTAACAGATCTAGACGAGGTTATCAGCAGGAAGTGGTGACAGAAGTTACTTGAACTTTCAATCACCCAGAAACCACAAGAAACCATCAACAAAACAAATTTACATCATCAAGAGGCTGCTGCACAGAAGTGAAAATTTTTTTTTCCACCCCATGTGTGCAGCAGAAGTTTCAGTTTGTTAATAGAAGGAAGCTATTATTTACGAGGTGAAAAATCAAGATTATTTTGAAATATATAACAAGGGTTTCTGTTGTGATGAGATTGATTTAGGGTGGTGATAAATTGGAATTATATTGCTTTAAATTCAGCATGACCATGGAAATCTGGGGGCTCACACAGCTCTGAGGTTGTAGTAAAATATCACCATAAAAAAAGCCAAGATTTCTTCCTTATGTTCTAAACTCTTGATTCATAAAAAGTGGAAGGTTTTTAGGGATGACAGTGTTTTTATCAGCAGCAAAACAAAATCCCATTCTCACATTTGATTCTGGGTTAGTTTGGTTACAAACTTCCCAAGCACAGCTTGAGCAGCACCATGAAAACTTTAGGGAAATCTATTAAAAAAAAAGAAAAAACAAAAAACCAAACACAAATCTGGATTTTGGCTCTACAATAATTAGAACTTAGCTTTCAACTGAACAGCTAAACGGGATTTTTAATTTTGAATTTGCAAACACTCATTTCTTTGGAGCCTGAGCAGCACAGCTACTGCTTTTCCTGCTCAGTGTCTGGTATCAGTTGAAACTTTAATTATCATTTAAACAAGAAAAACCCAACTGATCAAGCATCACTGCCTGGGGGAAACTTTTACCATGGCAATACTGAGAGGGGAGAAAATACCAGATCACCCACTGAGCTATTGCCTCAACATCTTGGGAACTGAATGTGTTTAAAGCTGATAAAAATCTCAGTTTCTTGGCGTTCCTGAATTGTATTTGCAGCAGGTGTTAATGGCCTTGTAATCAAGATACCTCCCCTGCTATTGCCTTTTTTTCTCTATTTGTAACATGGGACTATTTGAAATTTTTTACACGTGAGGAAGCAGTATCCTTCAAGTGTTTCCATCATTAACAGAAGTTTGTTTGGTTTTTTTTTCCCCAATTTCACTATTTTTGGTCCAGCTAGCATCTCCCAGTGCTTCATCCTAGCCCAAAAATCACCAAAAAAATTTAAAAAAAAATTAAAAAAAAAAAAAAAAAAATCACTGTGCAGCTCTAAAACAACCCCTACAGCTGATCCCTCATTTTCCTTTCCATAGCAATATCGCAGAATTTAAAATTAGGAACTCCCCTTTCCATAAATCGAGGGTATAAAACTCAGAAATTTGGGACTGAAGGAGCATTTCGTTTGAATTTCCATGTGCTGCCCATGGCGGGGCTCGCTGTGTGGACGATGGATCCCATGGAAATCCATCGGGAACGCGCGGGCTGTGGCGGCCTCCCGTGGCAGCTGAGATTTATTTCCTACCAAAATTCATCCCTTCTCCAAGGACACGGGGAATTTCGGTGGTAAATCAATTAAAAAAAAAAAAAATATATATATATATCCTGAAAATTCTTTAAAATCATCAGCACCTCCAGCTTTCTTGCTTTGGATAAATAAATTGTGAAGTTTTTCTGAATATTCTGTTTGAAGTGCACATTTATTTATGGTGACAGCACCTGATGTGATCACACATAAATAATTCCCATGTTAAAAAAACTCTGTAATGCCCCCCCAGTTCCCTGTTCTGGTTTACCAAACATTTAGGATGTGTTTTTTAAGAAATCAAAAAGCATCCAGAGGCATCTGGAGAATCCTCTCCTCGTGCTGGAAAAATCCTTTAAAAGTTATTAAATATTGTAACATAGAAACCCCCACTTCACCTCTCTTACCTAAATATGAACCCTCAAGGCTTTAAAATTACACTTGACCTTAAAACCTAATATTTAATGTAATTTAATGGCAACCCAGTAGGAAAGCTGGAAGTTTTTCCTCTAGGACTAGAGGAAATGTTATCCTGCTGATCATCAGAAAGGACAGAAAGTTGCTGCAGGTGGAATTCCTGTGAAAACAAACTCAAACCAACGATACTGTAAACACCAAATCCCTCCCAGAAATTAGGTTTTTAGGGAAAGAAGTCACACCTAACAAGTGTTCAGTTTTAGGTCTTTTTATGAGCAAAGATGTTTTAGTGTGCCACATTTCAAAAGCATCAAATCTTTCTTCACATAAAAAGAAAATTCACTGCATAGCTTTGGAGCTAGAGAGGTCCACGAGACTTTCTGCAAATTAAAAAGTGCATGAAGTACATGCAATCATCCTTCATACATAAAACAGTTTGCAACAGGGGTTGAGAACATCGTGTTAAAACAATATTTAGAGTTAAAAGTACCTGATAAGAATCCCTCCTCAGAGAGAGAGAGAGAGAGAGAGATTAACTGAATGAACATCCTCCTGGTCAGTTGTGCAAGTTCTCAACAAAAGCTTTTCTGTACAAGTGGTTTAAAAAAAAAAAATAAAATAAAATATCACACAGCGAGTTCTGGAATATTCCAAACAAGGATTGGATCCAACAAATGTTTTAGAGTTACCCCAATTCCATGGCATTTTGTTACAAACAGTTATCATGGCCTGAGCCCTGTGCACTGGTGCTGGGATTTGTCCATGGAACAATTTCTGGCTCATGAGATCAAACCTGAGTCTTGTGCTAAAGGTGAATGAATAAATCCAGCAGCTTTGCCAGCACTGGACCCTTTCCCTCCCAGTCAAATTTCAGATATTGAGCAGCAGATTTATCCAAGAGAGGTCAATGTATAAACAGCACAGTCAGAAGCTCCATCAGATCTAAGAGCACTGGTGGTCTGACAAAAATGTGGTTGAAAAACGTGTAGAGAATTTTAGAAGGCAGAAATTTCCATCTCTACTACTAGAGAGAGAATAAAAATATTAAGATGAAATATAAAACACTGTCATTTCAGTACCTGTGTTTTATCATTCACTGTAGAATAATGGCAAATTGTTTATTGAGTGTTGAGGGAAACTTGAGACAAAGTAAGTCAGAGATCAAAACTGGTATTTTAAAACTTAGCTCTTCCTAACCTAAACAAAAAAAGTTTTAACATGTTTTTGAAAGTATTCCCTAAAAATCAGAATTACATTTGCATCTTAATATTGGTGCAGGTGTTAGAAATTCAAC